CACATCTTGTCGGTATCACCATACCATTTCCTCATTGACAAAGTCACAGTGTGTGACTTTGTCAATGGTCCAAGTCGGACCGAAACGTCGTCGTAAGCTTCTCTCTTTTATGTGCGGGTTATTTGTGTATCGTTCCAGTCACGGTATTGTGCCTTTTTTGTTATTTAGAGTTATCAGAGATTATTTCTTGGGTAGCATTGAAAACTGGGTTGGGCAAATGTTTTGTTAGTGGGATGGATTGTAAAGGACCTGCCTAGTATGGGCCATCAGGCCTCCTGCAGTGATCCTCCTTTCTTATGTTCTTATGTCTAAATATGGTTGTTAGGTAAGACACATATGCAACAGTTAGGTATCTTTATTATGAAACGTTTCGCCTACACAGTAGGCTTCTTCAGTCAAGTACAGAAAATTAAGACACATGTGCAACATCTGGATATCTTTATTGTAGTAGACGTTTCGCCATCCAGTGGCTTTATCAATACAGATTCTAGGACATAATAGGAAGACAGTAGAACTATATACAAAAGATGAGGTAATCAGTCCCTCGGCCTTGGAGTTAGTGTTCACAGCATCGTGGTGGAGGAGAGTCTGGAGCAAAGACAAGAAGACTGGCGCTTTTTATAGGCGTCAGTGAATGGGACGGGCAGCAGACGAGGTCAGTCACTGGTAGGCGGGATTCCCCAGTGGAAGTAGGTCCTTCCCCAAAAAGATGGGTTAGTTTTCAGCAGCCGTGAAAAAGGCTTGTAGATGTCCTCTGAACCAAGAATCCATGATGTGCAGTGTCTGGACAAGTTGTGCAAAGAAAGGTATAAAATACCGACAATATGAAAGTTAAGACCAATGTGCAACATCTGGATATCTTTATTGTAGTAGACGTTTCGCCATCCAGTGGCTTTATCAATACAAAATTCTAGGACATAATAGGAAGACAGTAGAACTATATACAAAAAATGAGGTAATCAGTCCCTGGCCTTGGAGTTAGTGTTCACAGCATCGTGGTGGAGGAGAGTCTGGGGCAAAGACAAGAAGACTGGCGCTTTTTATAGGCGTCAGTGGGAAAGGGACGGGCAGCAGACGAGGTCAGTCACTGGTAGGCGGGGTTCCCAGTGGAAGTAGGTCCTTCCCAAAGAGATGGGTTAGTTGCAGCAGCCGTGAAGAAGGTTCTTGGGAGATGTCCTCTGAACCAAGATTCCATGATGTTGCAGTGTCTGACAAGTTTTGCAAAGAAAGGTATAAAAAAACCGACAATATGAAAATTAAGACACATGTGCAACATCTGGATATCTTTATTGTAGTAGACGTTTCGCCATCCAGTGGCTTTATCAATACAGATCTAGGACATAAATAGGAAGACAGTATGAACATATACAAAAGATGAGGTAATCAGTCCCTCGGCCTAGGAGTTAGTGTTCACAAGATCGTGGTGGAGGGAGAGTCTGGAGCAAAGACAAGAAGACTGGCGCTTTTAATAGGCGTCAGTGAATGGGACGCCAGCAGACGAAGGTCAGTCACTGGTAGGCGGGATTCCTCCAGTGGAAGAAGGACCTTCCAAGATGTGGGTTAGTTGCAGCACCGTGATGAGTCTTGTGATGTCCATCTGAACCAAGATTCCATATGTTTCGTGCTGACAAGTTGTGCACAGAAAGGTATAAAATACGACAATAAGTTAAGGACACTGTGCAACATCTGGATTATCATTTATTGTAGTAGACGTTTCGTCGATCCTGGCTTTATCAATGTCCTAGAATCTGTATTGATAAAGCCACTGGATGGCGAAACGTCTACTACAATAAAGATATCCAGATGTTGCACATGTGTCTTAACTTTCATATTGTCGGTATTTATACCTTCTTTGCACAACTTGTCAGACACTGCAACATCATGGAATCTTGGTTCAGAGGACATCTACAAGACCTTCTTCACGGCTGCTGCAACTAACCCATCTCTTTGGGAAGGACCTACTTTCCACTGGGGAATCCCGCCTACCAGTGACTGACCTCGTCTGCTGCCCGTCCCATTCACTGACGCCTATAAAAAGCGCCAGTCTTCTTGTCTTTGCTCCAGACTCTCCTCCACCACGATGCTGTGAACACTAACTCCAAGGCCGAGGGACTGATTACCTCATCTTTTGTATATAGTTCTACTGTCTTCCTATTATGTCCTAGAATCTGTATTGATAAAGCCACTGGATGGCGAAACGTCTACTACAATAAAGATATCCAGATGTTGCACATAGTGTCTTAACTTTCATATTGTCGGTATTTTTACCTTTCTTGCACAACTTGTCAGACACTGCAACATCATGGAATCTTGGTTCAGAGGACATCTACAAGACCTTCTTCACGGCTGCTGCAACTAACCCATCTCTTTGGGAGGACCTACTTCACTGGGAATCCCCCTACCAGTGACTGTACCACGTCTGCTGCCCGTCCAGTCACTGACCGCCTATAAAACAGCGCCAGTCTTCTTGACTTAGGCTCCAGACTCTCCTCCACCACGATGCTGTGAACACTAACACAAGGACCTAGGACTCGAATACCACATCTTTTGTATATAGTTCTACTGTCTTTCCTATTATCCGCTAGAATCTGTATGAAAAAGCCCAGGATGGCGAAACGTCATACTACAATAAAGAATATCCAGATGATGCACATGTGTCTTAACTTCATATGTCGGTATTTTATACCTTCTTTGCAACAACTTGTCAGACACTGCAACATCATGAATCTTGGTTCAGAGGACATCTACAAGACCTTCTTCACGGCTGCTGCAACTAACCCCTCTCTTTGGGAAGGACCTACTTCCACTGGGAATCCCGCCTACCAGTGGGACCCCTGACCTCGTCTGGCTGCCCTCCCCATTCACTGACGCCTATAAAAAGCGCCAGTCTTCATGGCTTGCTTCCAACTCTCCTCCACCACGATGCTGTGAACACTAACTCCAAGGCGAGGGACTGATTACCACATCTTTTGTATATAGTTCTAAAGTCCTTCCTATTATTCCTGAAACGTATTGATAACGCCACTGGATGGCGAAACGTCAATTCTACAATAAAGATATCCGATTTGCACAGTGCCTTAACATTCCATATTGTCCGGTATTTATACCTTTCTTTGCACAAGTACAGAAAGTTGATTAGAAGCAGAAGATACTAAACGATGTAATCAGTCCATCACCCATTAAAGTTATGAGGTGGGTCAGTCCCTCAGTCTGGAGAAGAGCATTGTTCCATAGTAGGTTGTCAAAGCTCCCTCTTTTCCTCCTAATACCATTGCATTAAAAGGGGCTTCCTATATAGTGGATTATATATAATAGTTACCCTAACTGTATAAAGTACGTATCGCACTTCACGATAAAAAATTTGTTTTGGTTTATTTGAAAAAAAAAAAAAAAAAAAAAAAAAACAAAAAAAAAAAAAAAAAATATTTTCAGCCTTATAACTCACATGTTTAGCTCTGTTAGACATTTTGAAGCTCTACATAATTTTAAATACCGATTTTATAGGAAGTAAAGTGTGTGTATGTAGATTATATAAAAGTAATTGGTACTTCCCTTCAAGTGCTTCGAATATTTAATGTTTCTTCTGTCACTGGAATTAGGTACAGAGTTTCACGGTCATAAGACAGATCAAGAGACGCCAGAGTTCTCTGGAGCCTCTTGGATCACGGAATCCAGGTGACGGTGAGTAATTGGTTAACAGTTATACTTCAAAGACATCAGATTTGCATACTCTTAAACATTTACTGAATTGATAATTACAAAATTAAATAATATATTTATTCACAGCAGACCTTTAGGTAATGTGCGATGGCTGACTCGGTACTGTCAACATTAGCCCATTGTTAATTGTAATAAGACACTTTGTTGGCGAAACGTTTCCCCAAAGATAGCCAAGTGTTGCAGAAGTGTCTAATTCATCAGCCAGTAGGTTATAATTAAAAATTTTTGCAGATATCTTATATGTAATGTCATTTATTTTCTCCTAATTGGGGAAGTATAAAGGTCTTTCAAGGAAGAAAATTAAGTTACTGGAGGACATGAGAACAGATCTCCTGTAGCGGATCTTAATCATGTGATGACTGCTGGGTAAAGCATTCGGCAATAAGAGCGTAAAAAGAATTTTTGGCTGAGGAAACAATGCATTTCATAGTTCTATTTTAATACGTATCCCTTCTCTTCTTTAACAATAGCAAAAGACTTTGACTTTCCTAATAGTTTCTCTACAGCTTGACAATTTTACTACAATTTACTAATTCTGTTCATAGTTGTGGTGTCTATGGAAGAGCCAGAAAGTGCGTTTGAAGTCCATGATACTGGAGGAATGGAAAAGTATGTTCATATTCTCTTCAGTAAACAATACTTCATATTTGGGTATATCATCTTGTCCTTACCTTTGACCCATACCTAATAATAATCTTGACATAGTGGAAGCCGTCTATTGTTAACCCTCTCACGTTGTTTCAGGTGCGGCCCAAAGCAGACGAATGTAGTCAACAAATCGGTGAGATTGTTCTCACTTTATGTATTGTAATGTCATGTTACAGGATTTTTTTGCCTTGAGCTGAAGTTCATTAGTTAAACTTTTTACACAAGGTTACTTGATTTTACTCTGAGTGCAGACACTACACTAAGTAATATAACTAGACTGTAAGTACATTAACTATGCTAGGAATAAAATTGGTATTCTAGTTCAGGAACTACACTTGTGCATACAGTAACTACAATATTATTACAGTTATTTTGTAAATACAGTAAATGCACTGCAGTGATGAAATTTAATTTCTTTAAATGATTCATTAACTTTTATTTTCCAGTTTAGAGCTCTCTAAACTATACTTTTTTCAATAGGAAAAAATACTATTCTTCACTGTATTGCTTGTATTGCTAGTACTGTAGTACAATTACTTGTACTGATGCTTGTACTGTAGTACAAGCATCATAAGAAATACATTATTAGTAAAGTGAAATATAAAAGTAATGCATAACACATCTATGAGCAGATGGAGGCTCATCATGCGCAGAGGTTGGTGATGTGGACTCGCTACAGAAGTTGGTGAAAGAACACCCAAAGAATCAAGCCATCCGAGACAAGTATGGCAACACACCACTCCACTGGCTGCTAAAGGCGGCTACCTGAATGTTGTAAAGTTATTCTGGGATCAGTACCAAGGAAGTCAACCTCAAAAACAAAGCTGGAAATTCCCCACTTCTACTTTCAATAGCCACAGGGAAAAAATCTACAGAGATTACGGAATTACTCATTCTCAATGGCTCAAAGTTAAATATGACAAACAAATGTAAATGGACAGCCCTGCACATAGCATCTGAGAAAGGTAAATGTTAAAACATTAAAGTTGCTGCTTAAACATGATGATAAATGTCTTCAAGCTAAGGAACCAGAAGGGATGACACCTCTGCATGTAGCGGCCAAAAATGGTCACTGGATGATCTGTAAGGAGCTTGTGGAGGCAGGTGCCAATATAGAAGAGAGGGATAGTTACGGCTCGACACCACTTCACTGGGCTGCAAAAATGGGATTTACTGAATGTTGTAGGAAGCTGCTGGAGCACAACGCTTCTATTAATAGTGAAAACAGTATAGGTAACACCCCCCTTCATTTATTATATGCATCTGGCAAGGAAAAACCAGATTGTGCCAGGTTATTAATTGAATACGGAGCTGATGTTAATGCCCAAAATAAAAAAGATAAGACTCCATTTCATCTTTCCTTTCGTTCATCAATCGAAATGACAAAGATTCTCTCAGATGCAGACGTTAAATTGCAACTGACTGACTGTAATGGCAGGACTGCTTTGCATTATGCTGCTGAAAGGCCGCCTTCTGATTATGTTAAGTTTGTTATGAACAAGAAAATTCAAAGGAAATAGTTAATATATTAGATAAGCAAGAAAAAACAGCTCTACACATAGCCATTTCTAAAAAGGCAGAAAAAAGCTCTAAATTTTTGATAAAAGTCGGTGCTGACTGCTCATTACTTGTGGTAAAATTGGCACTGCTTTACATATAGCAGCTCAGAATGGTCTAAATGAAATCTGTGATTACCTTATTACTAAGGGTGTCAAAGTTGACACAAAGAACAGTGAAGGATTAACACCACTACACATGGCAGCCAAAGAAGGCCATAAAGGCTGTTGTGTTGTGCTGTGCAAGAGAAGTAATTCACCAGATGTTCCAGATAATAATGGAATGACAGCTCTCCACCATGCTGCCAAGGGCAAACATTCTTCTTGTTGTAATGTTATAATAGAAAAGTATCCACGTTCTATTAACTCGAAAGATAATTTTGGTAAAACTCCTCTTCATATTGCTGTGGAGGCCAAGTCCCTGGAGTGTTGTAAGGTCATGGTGACACCCAAAGCAGACCTGTGGGCAACATCGCTTACTGGCAGCCCAATCAAGATAGCTTATGAGGCAGACTCTCACGACATCTTCAAATTTCTCTTGGATAAAGTAGAAGTTAATAGAAGCCAAGGCAAAAAAAGACATTAATTTTCAAGAGCTTTTGAAAAATCGCTGGAAAATAATGACAGGTAAGACACGTGTGTCCGCTTGTGTATTTATCTATTTAAAGTTACGAGAACAGATACAGATATATAAAAGATATTCGGCATTCCTTAAATAATTTATTATAGAATTGGTTTTATTTTTCAGTTGTGGAAGGACATATTATTTCTCAGCATTATGTTCCTGCTCACGTTACTTATTGGTTCCCAATTCCCTTAAGTAAACAAATTTACTTACCATATTCTTGTTATATATTACTAATATTGCTAATCTAACATTATTAACAGTACTCCTCTTCAAGGGGGGGGGGCTCCTTGGCGTGGTGAAGAGGCTCTTGGTCTGAGGGAAATTTAAACCTGTTGGTCTCCTTCCTCAGACCGAACCTAATTATCCCCCAATATCCCCTTCCCTATCCCATCCTCCTCTTACTCCCCAATCCTCCCTTTTTCTTTCCTCCTTCTCCTCCTCCTCCTCCTCCTCCTCCTCCTCCTCCTCCCCACCCCTCCCTTTTGCCCTTCCTCTTTTTGGCCTTCGGGATTTTTCCCACAGGCACGCTAGTTCCTAGGTAGGGGAAACGGTACAGGGATCCATCCCATTCCATTGAGGTTCTTGGTGGTGGTGTAGTTTGCCGTGGAATCTGGATCTCCTGGGGATGTCCCAATCCCTCTCCGGTCTCCTGGGGCACGCTTTGGGTGTCTTTTGGGCGACAGGTGTATCTCTGGAGGGTGCCTTTCGGATTCCAGGGGTGGTGGCCAAAGGAGGTATGGTTTGTGGCGGATATCCAGCCACCCTCTTTTGTCCACAGAGGTAGCTCAGCAGATGTGAGGTTGCTATCCCGGATTGCTGGTTTACTGGCATGAAGGGTATGGTATGGCATGGGTTCCATGCTGCATCTGTGCTTCTTGCGGTGCTGAGGTCCTCTTGGGCGTGGAGGGAGATTTCTGGCCCTTTCATTCCTCCTACGAACTATCCCTCCCCAGCCCCCCTTTTTTTATTCTTTTTTTTTATTTTTTCTTTCTTTTTTCTTAAAAACAAAAAGAAAGAAGTAACCTAACCATGGAAGACCCAATCCATGACCCCGCTACCCCCGGGCCCCCTCTTGTTACCGCACCCCGTTCTGACCCCACCTCGTCTTTTGACCACTCTTCAGACACTCCTAATGCCCCTGTACCTCTTGCTGGTGCTGTTTCATCACCCGCTTCAGGTGCTGGGGTTTCAACTGACTCCTTCGATTTGTCTGACCTCCGCTCTCCTTTGACTATGCTTCCGGCCTCTCCCTTTATGGTGCAGCAATTTTCAAATCGCCAGCCCATCCCACATCGGAACAATTCTGGTCCCACTCCTAAACACCAACAACAATTGCCTGATGATACTTAAATAAATAACAAAAAGGCACAATACCGTGACTGGAACGATACACAAATAACCCGCACATAAAAGACAGAAGCTTACGACGACGTTTCGGTCCGACTTGGACCATTGACAAAGTCACACTAACAGAGGTGGAGCAGGACGGCTATATATAGGCAGGAAGAGGTAGAGGTAGTAGTAGTGGTAGTAGTAGTAGTAGTAGTAGTGCAAGAATTGTATATAATACCGACAGGATGAAATGACACATGCACAACACCCGGGCATCCCCACCGTAGACGTTTCGCCATCCAGCCAGCCACTGGATGGCGAAACGTCCACAACAAAGACAACCAGACGCCGCACATGTGTCTAATTTCATCAGTAGATGTAGTAGAAGAAGAAGAGGTAGTAGTAGTGGTAGTGGTAGAAGTGGGAAATAAGGAAGACGAGCCAGTCAAATACAAAGGAAGGGGAGCACTGCAAGAGAGCTAGAAACCCACAGAGGGAGAGCAAGCGCACCGAGGTGCGTGAAAGGGGAAATGGTGAAATAAAATAAAGAAGGAACAGAAACACGAGACAGGAGAGAGAAAGACAACCCAGAGGAGAAAAGGAGAGAGGAAAGGGGAAGAGGAAGAAGAAAAAGAAGAAGAAGAAGAAGAAAAATGAGGATTCAGGTTAAGTCACAGGTGTTCTGAAGTTTGGAGTATTTTACAATGTAGTGGGAGAGGAAGGCATCTACAGAGACGAAGCCAGGGCTAAGGTTCATACAAGGAAAGTTGTGTATAAGAGAGGATTCAACTAAACGGCGACTGTTCGAGTTGGAAGTAGGGAAGACAGTTTTAGCAGAAGACCAGTCAATAGGATGGCTATGATCTCTGACGTGACAGAAAAGAGCATTGTTAGTGTCGGCAAGCCTCTGTTAGTGTGACTTTGTCAATGGTCCAAGTCGGACCGAAACGTCGTCGTAAGCTTCTGTCTTTTATGTGCGGGTTATTTGTGTACTGATGATACTTCTTTGCCACCTTCTTGTTCTACTCAGAAAAGACCGACATGTCATGCTCTCCCTTTCCACGCTCGGTTTCAGAATGCACAATGGACTAAATTCTTTATGACCGACTTCCTCTATTGCCTATTTTTTCCGACCATAGTATTGGCAAGGCGCTCCTACTCCATGTTGGTAGAGATATTTCCTTTCATGCTCTCAAGAGCGGTACCCGCATCATCACTGTCCAGAATGCCACCCAAGCTTGTGTTCTTTCTCTTCTTTACATATCGAACTGTTCCTGTCACTATCGATAAACATTCTCTCAATTCTTGTAGGGGTACTGTTATTCTACCCGATCCCCATAATCCAACAGAATTTCCGACATGTGCCAATGACATTCTCGAACAGCTGGAACTCCAAGATTCCCAATCCTCGAAGTAGATACTTGCGTCCTTTGTGGGGTGAGGAAGGGTCTTTTGAATTCTTTGAATTCTGAAACACGAGGGGGCCCCCAGCCCAATTTCTGACGTGGTCAAGATAATTATGCGAAAAAATGATTTTGTGTTTTGTTTAGAGAAAAATAGTGTAAGTACCTGGCAACATTTTGGTGAAAAATCCCCTTGTAAAAACGATGAAATTTTAGGTGACGACCTGCCAGGTAATATATGCGTAAGTGCGAGGTGAATTTTTTATATTTTTTTGTTTGTTCCTTAATTTTCTGACTATTTTTTTCTTTCTAATACACTAAATTTACCACTTAAAACATTACAATGCGGGAGGAGCTTATATCAGAGGTGTGAAAATTTGTCTAGACTGCCTCCGCGTCAGTCATTATTAATGACCTGCCTGCACCTCAGAAATTCCTGTTTCCAAGGGGGTGAGAATCCCCTAGAATAAGTATACAGAGAGTGACACTAGCTTCTAAGGCTGACAAAGAGATGCCGGTATGTACCAGTCATGAACTGCCGCCTGCACAAAGGCCCACAGCTCAACTCACTCGCAATTTCCCCCAGAAACTGGCCAGAGTACTGAAGAAAAGGGGAGGTCTCGTCTTACTGTATGGGCCTGACGGAGGAGGACATCTACCGTACGTTAAGGTGCCTCCACCAATTTCCCCAGGTCTAGTATGTGAAGACACGTGGGGGTGCCACCTGCTGATCACGGCACTTGTTGCTCCAGCAGTGTCTGGTCTTAGAAGAAGGGCACTGCGGTCTCAAAACCCCATGCCCAGCATTTAAACTTGGGCTGCCAGTTCTCCCTGGCTAACATAACCTAGTGTTTGCCTACATTATCGGCCTATTTCTACGTTAAGGTCTTAGGTCTACATTAATATTATCTACAGTTGCCTCAATAACTCTAATATTAGTGTACTAACAGTATAAACTGCCTACTTCTTCCCTGAAGGGTAAATCTATCAATTAAGATGTACCTTTCCAACCACCTTCGCCAACCCGGGTGTGTGTGTGTGTGTGTGTGTGTTTTGGGTGGGTGTAAGGGCCACCCAACCCAGACGTTCTATCCGCCACCTGATGGGATCTTTGTACGACGTATCTGCCCTGTGGAACTTTAGGACCGAATAAATTTCCACAAGAGGTGGGAGGAGCTAGAATGGTGCAACATCGAGTTGCTGACGACAGGACTCTGCTTATCACTCACAAGATGTCTTATACTGATGCTATTATTACTAATATTATTTTTCTGTTTATATCATTTACTCAATAATGATAGTATGCATAATATAACTTGGATAAACGCATAAGAAAGCCAGCCAAAACAATAATATTTGTATATTATACCCAGAGGTGGTGCCTGATATTGATGAAATGATTAAGCTAGATCCTCTCTATAAGAGAAGGGTTTTCTATGTTACCTCTGGTAGCACTACAGAAAACGGTGTTTTTAACATGGGAAACAATAAGAAATCACTAATATCGCATAAATAAACCCAAAGTAGGGCAATTTTTGTGATTTTTTTTTAGCTAGTAATTAGCTAGTTCGCGCGTTTACCCGAATATCTCGAAACTAGGATTTTGGTCTATTGCTTGTCACTGCGCCATTATTAATGATTGGATTGAAACGATTTTCACAGACAATATAAAACAGTGTGTTTGAATATATTAAAGTGAATTTTTTGGAATATCTCAAGTATTTTTTATTTTGTGGGGGGTAAAAGGCAGATATTTTGATGAATGTCAAAAAAGTGCACCAAATGTATTGTTTTTCACCATAATAATAAGCTATATTAGATGAATTGTATCCAAAATATTCGTTTTAGACGTATTCTAACAGAATTGTTGGAAGTGTCACTCATAGTGCCAATTTGTCATGCCATGCTGCCATATGTCAAAATCAGTAAATATTTTTTCTCCATTGTTGGTCAATCATATTCAAACTTTGTCATATTTATTTACATATGCACTTCTAAACGTACACCAAAAATAAAAGAAATCGGGAGAAAGATAAAGGAGGGAACGAAATTGGAGCATTAACCCCATAATTGAAGCTATCTCTGAATATATTGCAGAGACCAAACCATCAATGGACACTGATCCACCCCCTGTTCCTTCTCTTTCCTCTCCTCCATCTGTGCAACTCCTTTCTTCGCAGTACACTGTTCCTTCGCTGCTTGAACGTTTTCCG